CCCATGCCTTTTATTTAGACAATTTGTTTGCTGACCAGGTATGTCCTTTATCTGCAGCTCCTTTGTGCTGCTAGTTCTTTCCTTCCTTTATCATTTAGGTCACTTGCATTTTCACAGATACTTCCTGCTTTTGGATTTAAAGCCATCAGCAGCTCAGAGACTCTATCTTAAAAGGGACACAATCAACTTTCACCAGAGTTTTGATCACTTTTAACTTCTGTTTCCAAAACACACAGCAATCTGAAAAAGAAAACCCAACCTATTGTGGCTCCCTTTGGAGCCCTAACAGCATTTTAATTAAGTAGCATGGTATGTTTGCATTTCTTTTGCCCCTTCTACAATATACCCTGCACATGTTCTGGGGCAAATGCACATTCCTTCCATAGTTTAACTTCTATAACATTATCCAGATCCATTTTTACATAAGGTGTAACTATTTCTTGTTTTGCTTACAGAGTTTTCATGTAGCTTTATCAAAGTGACAGTCTGATTAGTCAGAGCCATTTTAAGACTCAGTGTTTCTAACATTGCTTCTTTTTGTTTTGTGCACTTCACCCCTGCTGTTGCTTCAGAAGGGCACTGTCTTTTTTTAATTTTTTTTTTACTACAACTCTCATCTGCTATTTTGTTACAAAAACAAACAAAAAACAAACAAACAAAAAGAATACAGAATTTTTTTTTCTATTCTCCTATTTTGACTGCCCTGCTGCAGCCACAACTTAAAAACATTTTAAATTTTGTAAAGCATTGAGTTACCTTTTAAGGGTTAAATGCCAAATCCCAAAGCCAAACAACACTAATTACCTGTGTCTAGCAAAAAGGTCTGTCGGTTTTGCAACTTTGAATTAAAGAGTCAAATGGATTTTTAGTGGCATTATTTGAAACAAAAGCAAAACCAACTGGTCCTTAGAACTTTACATATTTACACACACAGAGACAGATACATACACTTTTTCTTTCCCTTAACATCCCTTCCACACTGCTCTGTTTTTGTTTTTTTTTTACATCTTACATTCCCTTTATACATTTGAGGCAGTTAAGTTCCAATAGAACACCCTTACATCCTTTAGTGATTTTGATTACATTACCCAATAGTCAAACAATTTTTATCAGATTCTCTCTCTGCCTGCTACCTGCAGCAGTCCCTTATAGACCATTTCTGTGGGAAAAGGGCCCATTTTCCCTCAGAATAGCTGTAAAGGCTTCCGGGGACAGAAGCGTAGTGCTGGTAGTAGTCACTCTACCTGACCCCCTTAGCCTAGACCATTTTTCCAGAAATTTACAGGAGTCCGGACTCTTCCTAAAATACATAAACTGAGCCAGCGTTCCTTTAGGGAACTGTCCCGACTTAGACGTCTGGTTACCCATACAGGAGGACTTTACACTCCAATCACACAAGAAGGAAAGTCGCATTCATCAGAGCGATGCCCGGTGCAACACACAAAAGGAGCCCACAGGCTACTGCCTCAATCGCCCTTGCTTTCACACCAAGGGTTTTACCCAAGGTGCGGTGCGGCTGCGATTGTGCAGATTTCACTCATTCAGACCGTGGGGACAGGAACCCTTTGGTCAGCCGATCCCCAGACGGAGACGGCGCCCAGACTCAAACACACCACAGGGAGGACGGATAGACACAGAGACAAGACAGTCCCCAGTCCGGACAAAACACAGAAATAATTACCTGACCAGATTCCTGTTGTCAGATCCCGGGATCCCTACCAGAACAGAGTGGGAACCAACAGGTTCAATGGCGTAGACTTCACTGTGGTCATGCACACTTCCATTCTGGTGGAGGACCGCTCGGGCCAAATGCCCAGGTGCCGGCTTGCCACGGCCGTCCTAAGAAGAGTCAGGAGTCACATGGCCCTAGTGAAGACGGTTGCCATCTCGGTGGGACCTCCAAATTGTCAAAGTCAGATTCAGGACTCACATAATTTGTCAGACCACTCTGTTTATTAGCAAAGCACCTTGCTAATGCACCCAGATGTGAGCCCCTCTCTGAGGCCCAAGATAACCTATTTATACAGCTAAGCCAAAGCCAATTTAACATAAGAGACAAAAGAAAGCAGAAACTGACAAATATACATACATATCTTATTTGCATACTAACGTTTACCAATCTCCTAGCTCAGTAGGAGCTCTAAGTTAATTAGTTTGAGGACCCATTGTCTCACACTCCTTAATGTTTCTCTTCCTGACAACTATATTTCAACAAACCCTTCAAGTAGCATTTCTTTAATGAATTATAATTTCAATATAATTCATTCTACTTTCACATTATAAGTCAAAGCACAAGTCAGATTTGGTCAAATGAAATAAAAGCAAAACACATTTTAAGCTGATCTTAACACTTTCAGTGCCCTTACAAACTTAGATGCTTCTCACCAGAGGCTGGCTGCTTGCCCTTCATCCAGGCTCTCCCCTTTGATCAGCACTTCAGTTGCTTGGGGATGGTATCTGTAGATGGAGGTGGAAGAGAGAGAGCATGGCAAACATCTCTCCCTTTTATCATGTTCTTTCTTCCCTCTTGGCTTTGAAGCGCAAGTCAGGTTAGCATTACCTCATCGTAGTCCCAAACTGACAAGGGAAGGGGGGTGACTCACTCAAGAGTCCAACAGATCCTTTGTTGCTGCCTAGGCCAGTGTCCTTTGTTCCTGTGAGGCTAGGCTGGGTTTGTCTCATACATGCCCTGATGAGGTGTGAACTGCCCCTCTGCTCCTGGAGAGTTTTGCCTGGGCTTGTTTTAAGCCATGAGGACACATTTTCAGCCTCATAACAATATACATGAAATTACAATCTATAACATTACTATAACAACAATGCTCAGTGCATCATGAGCCTTCCGAAGACACCAGATATGACAAACTTTGCACTGGATACCACACAATCATATTATAAGGTTGGACGTGGGGGTGCAGGGTGTTCCTCCAAGGTACAGAGCGTCACAGTTGCACCAAGAATGAATATGACCTACGAGGCACATTTTCAAATTGTCACCCATGTCATTCCTGCACAATATATACGTGCATGTAAAAGTGTCACTGAGCATATAAAAATATAGCATTTCTGTAGCGTTCTCCATGCAAAGATTTTAAAGCACTTTACAACTAATATTATACTTAACTTCACAATATACCTGGCAGATTGCATACTATGATGATGGACTAAACAAAACACTAAGGGCTTGCTTATGTGGGGAAATTTACCAGCCTAACTACACCAGTATAATTATACCACTCTAGTTAGACCAATATAACCGCCTGTGTTGACAGGGAGCTTATACTGCTTTCAGAATGACAAATGCAGCACACAGAATAAAAGACAACCCTTTGGGGCACTGTAGCAGATGTGCTGTCATGGAGTTGGGGGCTTGGAGCTCTGCCTTAAGGGACTGAAGAGGGACCTTACTTTGATCTCGAGTGATCCTCTCTGGCTGGTGTTCACTGTGTTGGTGATAGGATCTGGAGAGAGTCATCTCTAGATCTCCAGTGACTAAGAGAGAGTAGCCAGGTATGCTGGAGGGTGGAGGTGGAAAAACACATGCAAGAATTACACAGACCAAAGTGGACATGTGCTTCACAGAGGTATGTCAACAGTCTGAGCCTTTCTGAAGCCAGTCATTCATGATCAGAGCTTCATTGTGTCACGTGCTGCACAAACACGGAGCAAAAGACTGTCCCTGCCCCCAAAATGTCACAATCTGAATAGTTACAACTCTAGCTGATCTAGCTGCTGGGGTTTCCAAGCCTGAGAATCACTGTTACTCCCCGCAGCGTCAGCAAATGAGAGTTTTGCTGCAGCTGAGCTGTGTGTGTCAGCTCACTGCCACACCAGCTTGTCTGCCTTGCCAGCAAACTCTTCTTGCCAGTCCAAACCTTGCCTAGCAGGTAACAATCAGTGAACCCCAATTCCCAAGTTCCCCAGAGACGTGCTCAGCCCCTCACAGAACTTTATCTAGTTCACGGCTCCTTGAAAGAGAGAGTACACAGCAACTTATTAACTTAACTTGGGTTGACAAACCCTCCACTTCAACCAAAGCATGGAGATGGTTTATAGTGAAAAAAAAAAGAGGTACATTCATTAATAAAAGGGTATCAGCTTAAGTGATACCAAGTATAAGGAATAAAGCTAGAAATGGTTACAAGCAAACAAAAGTAAGAATAGGCTTCTAAGACTTCGATCTAACTTAACAAACTAGAGTCCTTTGTTCAAAGAAGTTTTTCTCACCCATCTTTCTTCCAGTCTGGCTGACCAGTTTTTTAGCCAGGACCCTTCTCATATCTCAAAGTGCTTGGTTTCTTTGACTCCGCAGGTGAAGGACAACTTAAATTAGTGGTTCTCTCCCCCTCTTGTCATAGTCCAGTAAACCTTTGAAATGTATTCTTGAAAAGGAAGCCCAGTTTCTCTTTCCTGCTGGGATGTAGATGCCAGGCTGTTTTCTCCCCCACTTGTCAGCTCTGTTTACCTTTTATGTAGATGTACCTTCATTGTCTCTGCCTGGCTGGTCAGAAAAGCAAATACACACTCTTTTATCTAGGGCAGACTGGCCTTATGTATTGCTTGCCAAGCACATTTTAAGAACATAATTCCAGCACATATTTATAACTCTCTGTATATCCTTGTGCATATACCATGCAATGTTTTTTGGGACCAGCATGTTATCGTTTGTATACGATAGATTATGACAACAGTGTGTTAGGTGCAGTGAGTAGGTCAGGCCCGATGAGTTGCTGACACACAGTAGCGAACTATCAACGGGCCTCAGTGCCACAAGAGTACTATCCTCATTTTACATGGGAAATGGAGGCACAGAAAAATTAAGTGACCTGCTGAAGATCACACTGGAAGGCTGTGGTAGAGTAGAGAACTGTATCCCACTCGCCAATGTCTCAGTGCAGTGCCCTAACTACAAGCCTATCGTCCCCCTCCCCTCCATTTGCTCTTTCCCAGTGGGCATACACAGACGAGGCATGTATGTTTTTGTTTCTTTCTCACTGCAGGGCATGAGACCTATGTCCCAGCACAGCCCTGCTCTGACTTTCAGACTGCAAGCTTCTTAGAGGGCAGGAAACTTAAAGTCCAGTTTCTTCTGTTCACCTCCTCAAACCCCAGCTGTGGGCAGCTGATATCACTTGGCGATGACATCAAGAACTCCAACTTCAATACTAGCCTGGACACCAAAATAATAATCCATGGCTTCAGGTAAGCATAAACTGAGCTGGACACTTTCAGTCCCAGTGACCTCAGAGATCTCCTTCTCTCTCCTCATGTCATACCTCAGCAATTATTATTTATTATTTGTATTACCATAGCACCTAGGAGCATTGGTCATGGACCAGAACCCCCTGGTGCTAGGCACGGCACAAACCCAGAATGAAATGATATTCCCTGCCCCAAAGAGTTTATAACCCACAATCAGGCAAGGTGCTTACATCAGAGGGGAAGATATTCCATGTCAAAAGACCTGAATTTCAAAATGTCAGTGAAAAATCTAGTCAACATTTCTAATTCTAAACCAAAGGAAAAAAGGGAGAAAATGTTAATATACTTTTTGTGACTTTTTCACCCTCATCTTGAGACAAGCTGCAGAGCTGGTCAAAATACTTCAAATTTCAACTTTTCAATTAAATGTTAAAATTTCAAATATCCACAGGTTTTAAAAAACAGGGATATCCTCCCACCCCCTCCCAAAATTAGGTCTTTCCCCCTGTTTTTTTACTAGTTTTATTCATGAAGAGTCTTTGCTTTGGAGTTTTCTCCCTCTGTCCCCCCAGCCATTCAGTGCATGGATTTCTTAACCTGCTAGGAAGCCTGCCAAACCCACCTTTCTTCTTCTCATCCTGGAGGCAGGGAGTTTGAGCTAGGGTTTTTAAAGCTGTGGCCATTTGGTGGGTTTGTTTTATTGTGGGAGCATCAGCCAGCCCATAGTTGATTTTAAATCATGTTAGTTTAATTTCCGTGAAGGGTGAGACATTATAAAATGAAATCAATAAATAAAATACACCCAGAGGTAAATACATATCATTTTATGGAAGAGGAATTGTGACACAGAAAGCTTAAAGCCCAAATTTTTCAAGGTATTTAGGCATCGCTACACTCAGCATTGTAATGCCCAATTGATTTAGGAGACTAAACCTCATTTTAAAAGGGATTTAGGGACTTGTAAGCCAAAATCCAAATACCATGGACAATTGACAGGATTTTGGCTCTTAAGTGCCTAAATCCCTTTTAAGAATGGGATTTAGGCTTCTAAATCAATTTGGCGTTCCAGCGCTAAATGCCTTTAAAAATCTGGGCCTATGTGACTTGCCCAAGGTCTCTTAGCCAGCTGGTAGCAGAGCTGAGACTAGGAGCTCCTAGTGCCTAGACCTCTATCCCATTGTTCGCTAGACTATACTCTGTCTATGGAAGGAAATTTCTTCTTGACCTCAGCTGGTGATCAGCTTAAGCACTACAGCAAGACTGATACCTCTGGCAATTTCACTCAAGCTGTTGTCACTGCAGGTGTTAGTTTTGGTCATGTAAATGTCTGATTTCTTTCTGACTCATAATGGGCAGGATGGTTATAGGTGAAAAGAGTCTGTGAACTGCAGTGATGGAAGGCTGTTTGGCGCAGTCTGATAGTAGACAAAACTTTCACCTACTGTATGGCAGTCCCAGCAGGGAGATTTTGAGATACCACCTGTAGCCGGGTAGTCACCCTGCTCCGGCCCTGAAGGGGTTAAAGCAGCCCTGGAGAGGGCTACAGCTGGGGAAAAGCTAGGCTGATTGGGGGAAGCAGCCACAGCTGGGACCACGCCCCAATCAGGGCCCAGCTGGCCCTTATAAGAGGGTTGTGGGCCAGAAGCAGAGGAGTCTCATTCTAGGCCTGGAGTGGGAAGGGCTAGTTGCCTGAGAGCAAGGTACCTGAGGTAGAGAAGGGCAAAGGGAGCTCTAACCTCATAAACACCCAGGCTGCAGGCAGAGGAGCAGCCTGGGAATAGGCAGAGGCAGCTGGTCCTACCCCCTTGCCTGTGATAAGTGGCTATTACAGACTGCAGTCTGCCTCAGTGAGTGGGAGCTAGATGATGACTGGCAGTAGCCATTGAGGCAAGGTGGGTTTAGAGGGTTGGAGGTTCCCCTGGGAGGGGGAACTCAGAGTGTGGGGGTCCTGCTGGGGCAGAACCCTGGGGTCTGGGAGGGACATGGGGCCAGCGGCAGGTGAGACACCAGCCTGCAGAGGGCGCTCTGGGCTGGAAGAGCTGATTCCCAGGATGACTAGCAGGAGGCACTGTGCCAGTGAAGCATAGCCTTGCTACACCACCCCAGAGGGGAAGTCTGCATGTGTGCTTGCCCCATTTTGGAAGGCATCTGACATATTTATTTCTGATGGCTCACCAGAGCACTTGGCACAAAGCCCTCCTGGATCAATGGACTCATTGGTGCATTATTCCGAGCTGCCAAGGTGAATGTGGTCGCAGTTGACTGGGTTTATGGAGCTACAAGAAACTACCCTGGTGCTGTGGAAAATGTCATGGAGCTGAGCATAGAGATCTCTCGTTTCATCAGCAAGATGCTGGTAGGTGGAAATGAATGTCTGGGTGGGAGGAGCATAGCCAAGGGACAGAAATGGGTGTGAATGCAAACCACCCCAGACAGTAGCTTCCACTCTGACCTTTGTTTATTCCATAATAAGCTCACTGCAGTGGCGAAACAGAATCTCCATCTTCCCAGATCCTCTTCCTCCTGAGTATCACAGCCCAGCTGTGCATTGAGCTCTCATCTGCTGCTCCAACCCATCACTCCATGGGTCTCTGTACTAAGGACTCTGCCTTTCTCCACCTCTTGCCCCCTCTCACTTGCCCTATTGTATAGCATTGTGTTTCACTATATTGCATTGTACTGTACTGCATTGTCCTGCCTATATCACAGGCCCTGCACAGTATTGTATCCTCACATATTGCAGGCACTGGCCTTGATCCTCCATTGCTTTCCCCTTATGTCATTGTTTACATCTGTGAAAAGTGGGTCTCAAACACTATCAAAGGCAAGGTGGTAGGATAAACGTGGTGTGTCCTGTCCCATAATACTGTATTGCCTCAGAATGTGTTGCCCTGTATCTGTTGCATCCCATTGTATTAACTAGGGCACGTGGTATCGTATCACATCATATTGACCCTTATTCAGAAAACACCGACGTAAGTGGTTAAGTTCCATTCAAGTCAATGGAATCTAACCTATGCAACTAAAACCAATGAAACAACAAGAGAAAACAACATCAGCATGGGGTGGGGAGGTGACAAAGCTAGGAGAGAGACCTTGTCCTTCTTGTTCCTGCTGAAGGGACATCCAGGTTTTGGGGGTAGTGTCACCCAACTAGGAGGTTCTGTGGGAAGTGCTCCAGAGTGAAGATAACCCAAGGGGAGGGAACATGAGAGTATGTAGGGGGCTGGAGGAGATGAGTGATCTTGTGTCCATGATCAATGTGTCAAAAAACCAAGTAAGGACAATATCAACCACTCTTCACTTCTCTCTGGTTAACCACCTTATGCACTGAGAAAAGCAGTGCAGTGCACAGGACAGGAGGTCAGCAAACCAGGCTTTGCCACTCACTGATCTGCTGTGACTGGGTAGATCACTTTTCCCTGTGTCTCTGATTTCCTATCTGTAAAATGGGGGTAAATAATAGTGATTTGCCTCTGAAAAGTGCTTTGAGACCCTGGGATGAAAAGTATTAACTATTATTCACTCCTCAGGTACTTGGAGTGTCAGGGACATCTGTGCACTTCATTGGAGTGAGCCTTGGAGCACATGTTGCAGGTCTGGTGGGGCAGTTCCATGGAGGCCAGCTGGGAAGGATTACAGGTATTGTAACATTGGGAGAATCCTGGACCCAATGGTCCTGAATTGTGAGGACAGAAAGAGCATGTCAAGGTTGATGGAAAGGGTTTGATAATGGTTCTTTAGCTGAGAAGTCTTGGGCTTGTGGGTACTTCTGAGCTACAGAGCAGTTCAGGAATGTGTTTGTGTGTTTTTTTGTTTTTTTTTTATTCTTGGAATAATGGCCAGCAACCCTCTGAGCACAGGATTTCACTTGCAGGACTCGCTGTTCAGACCGTGAAGAGCCTGTAACATTTTCACACACAGTCAAATAATAGAATTCACACCACTCACTGGGTGGGTGGAGACCAGTTGTCACTGCACCATCAGTTAATGATGGGGAAATCTAGACCCCATGGGAATCAAAGCATTAATGCTTGAATAGTTTTGTATGTTCAGACTAATAACAAAGGATTGTGTGTGACTGACAGCAATAGGAATGAATTATAAAGAGCTGACCCTTTCAGCTCAGAGCTTCTACCATCTTAGAGGAAAAATGTCCTGGCTGGGAAGCCTAATTGGACCTCGTACCAAGGGAACCACAAAAAAGCTTGCGTCAGATGGTCCTTGCTGGCCCCTCAGCACAAAGATCACTCCTATGTTTCCAATACAAAAGACATGCTTTCAAATGAATAGCTTTTATTTCGGATTGAGGAAGAACAACAACAAGAAGGAACAGTACAGCTCCCAGGAGAGAGCACAGTGTGTGTGACTCATTCTATAGAGCTGCCATGTTGAGCTAGCTCAGTCCCAGGGCACACTTTACACTCAGAGGTGCATTACATACAAGACAGTCCATCTAGCTACCTGCACCACAATCCTCTTCCTCTATATTTTAAAAAAATGTACATTATTATGATTAGTTTAGTCTGATGTTAGGTCTGTATGTTATGGCCCAAGGTATTTAGCAGAAGGGGAAATTGGCATTGCTCTTCCTGTTTCCTCAAGTCTTTTGAGATTCATCTTCAACAGTAACATTTTTATTTACATCTTCACCAGGCCTATAAAAGTAGCACCATTTTGCTCCCCAGTAATTACATGCTCACCAATCTCACATTCGGGACCTTCTGCCCTTTCTGACCCTTAAACTTATAACAGTTGCCAAATGTGACTTTCTTCCTTTCCCCTTTTACCTCTGCCAAGTAAATTATAGGCATCAATACCTTCTGACAATCCCCTTTTCCCCACTCATTCCTACCCTGTGATTTCACAAGTGTACAATCAATTATACCCAATTTCCTGTTCCATTTGCAGCCTGAAAATATTTGGATCAGCATCTGGGTTTCTTGGTGCTAACCTAAACTCTGCCAACCCAAGGCTGGGTCCAGAGTCAGCACTGGTTCTCCTGAGGGGAAGAGGGTGGCAGTGTGTCTGCTGTTAAGACTTTAGTTCTATCTTGGTACAGGACTGGATCCTGCGGGGCCCAAGTACACAAAAGCCAGCCGTGAGGAGCGCCTGGATCCTGGAGATGCTCTCTTTGTGGAAGCCATTCACACTGATACAGACAGTAATCTGGTTTCTATTCTTTTCAGCCTACTGCTTCTCCCCACCCTGCCATCATCATTAATGGCCAGGAACATGGTTAGTGTATAGCTGTTAGTGTGGCCCAGTGGCTAACTCCAAGGCCAGATTCACACATAGGCAAACCAGGCACCCACTTAGGGCCCACATTTTGGGGAGGGGGCAGGAGGGAGGTGTAGTTTTTTTTTTAACTAATGCAAATTGATGTGCCAACTGAACTTCACTCACCTGAGTGAGTGGCATTGCAACCTGGTGCTCCAGCTTGTAGTGCCCCTCAAGTTTGGCCTGGCTGCCCCTCTGTCACTGAGCAGCGCTCCCAAGCAGCGGCAAGACGAGCAGCCAGTCCTGGCAGATCTACAGCATGGTCAGCCCAGCTGCGGTGAGTGGACTATAGCGCTCTTTTCTATTAGAAGATGGGCCCAGAAAGTATATGTTTGCCTAGGACCCAGTGTTGGGTTAATCTGGCCCTTGGTGGCTCTTCCTTCTAGGTCAGAAGATAATAGGTTCAAGTCTCACAGTAGGATGTAGTTGTGTTTTGGTTAGATTAGCTTTCCAGAAGGCTTAACTCAAATGATAGTAAAAATCTGGCCATGAGAGTTTTGTCTATACTAGAAGCCCCACCAACAATAGCACCTCTGAGAATTACATTGTCTGTGTCTACACTAGGGAAACTTAGTGTCAAAACTCTCAAGTACTGCTCTTCCCTTTGTGTCTCTTCATCCCCAGCATCTGAAAGCAGCAGGATCAATGAATGGGCAGCAAGTCAGGTGGAGGAACACAGAGCTTCTGGTGGGACCAGCTCAGCATACTCCTGCTTTTGCCAGGAGAAGATTGTTTGTTTCTGCAGAAACAAATAGTCCAGTTCCTTCAACATTGGACAGGGGAGAAGGTTCCCTTTCAATTTCCATGCAACCTGACAATATATTGCCATTAAAGATTCCCTGGCACCTTTTGCAAAGATTGGGGTGCAAGACCTCACCTTATGTCCTCTCTGGTCATTGCATACTGCTCCCAAAATGCCCCTGGAGATTTCAATTCAATATTCACTTCCTCTCCTAAACTGTTATGCCATGCTGATGGGCTCTGACGTTCCCAGTGACTCCTGTGAGTATGTAGGGCCTCACTGCTCCTACTTCCACTGACTTCAAGGGAGTTACTTCACATTTATTCTGCTGTAAGCAACAGCAGAATCAAACCCAGAGATAGTACAATTACTTAGTAACCTTTGTAAAGTGCTTAGAGGCCAATTTAGATGGAAGATGTTATAGAATATAATGCTTTGCACCTTTCTGTAGCACCTTCCCCCTGAAGACCACAGAGCTCTTTATAGAGATTTATTAATTAAGCTTCATAACTGCCAGGATGTAAGTCTGTATCATTTCCATTTTACAGCGGGGGAAACTGTTGCCCAGAGACATTAAGTGATGTGTCCAAAAAATACAGAGAGCATCAGTGGCAGGGCTAGACATGGAATCTAGGCCTCCTGACTCCGGTTCCTGTGCTCTAACTGCTATATATCACTGCCTCTCACAGATAATTATGCAGGACAAGAACATGGAAAAAGTCTTGCCCTTCATCACAGCCCATCACCTTCTCCTGCAGAGAAGTCATAATGGTGACTGATGACCTCAGTCATTTTGTGGGGAAACACCCTGTGAAGTCACAAAGCCAGGACACTTACATCACAGGGGATCAGGCAGGGTAGACCATGAGGGAGGGGGAAACAACTTCTAATTCAGTTGCAGATCTCTGCAAAGGGTAAAGGAAAAACCACAAAAAGGTGACCAGAGAATCATTTCCCAAATTAAGGTTTCTCACTTTCAGTTTCCTTTAGTGTGAAAGTCCCATTAAAACAAAGGCCCAGGTGAACACTCTGCTCCCATCCCTATGTACTGAAGCATGGAGGAATCTGTACAGTGAAAACAGTTGGCAAGACACCTAAAATTCTCCCTTAGTCTGGTGAAGAAACCACCATATTGTGTGTGGGCCTGGGGCCAGCTCGGATACTGTTAAGTACATCCTGTTCTTAGGACCTTGGAACATGGAAACTAGCAGCTTCCTCTAGAATGTTTCCCTAGAGAAGGAGGAGCAGGAATAACAGCTCAGTGGGGTGGTTTGTTTGGTTGGTTTTTTTTGCTCCTTTCAGATTTTGGTATCCGGATTCCTGTAGGCCATATTGATTATTTCATTAATGGAGGCAAAGACCAACCTGGATGCCCCCGGTTCATCTCCTCAGGTGAGAAGGATTCACGGCAAGTTGTCAAGGGACGTTCCCTTCATTCCAATCAGTCAGCCTGTAAAGCTACTGCTTGACTAACAGTTCCCACCTGAGCCAGGGCAGGGGTATGGCAGACATTACAGCAGGACAGTAGATGTGTAAAGGACAAGCCATGGCATGACGAGCCATCTGGCCCAAGCTGCCTCTCAGCATTCAGAGAAGAAGAATAACCAGATAACACTATCTATGGTTATGCAACAACATAACAGCTGAAACGCAAAGCACCCTGAGGCCAGGTTTCCACTAGAAACTTTTGCCTGTACCCAGGGCGTGATTTTTTTTAAGTGATATTTCTATACCAGCAAAAGCCCTAGTCTAAATGCAGTTCTACCAGCAAAAAAAGTCATTTTGCCAGTGTAAGGGGGTTTATTCCTTCACCTTCTCACTTCCCTGGTCCTTCTCACATGAACAGAGAGCAACAATACCCAAAGTCCAAAGGTGAAAACAATTCAATGTTTATTGGGGTGAATTTCCAGAAAGCTTAAATCCAAGTTCCCTTTTCCTTATTTTCAAATCCCAATTTACTTCCTGTTTTCCCCTAATTTATATAGTAATATTCTCAGCTATACCTTAACCAATCATTTTACTGAAATATAACTAACCAATCCTAACATATTGAAACATGATTATTTAACCAATTATATCCCACCACCTTAATTAGTTTACACCCAGCAAAATTAATTATACAGCCGACAATCACAGAACCAGACAGAGATTATACAGACAAACAATATGGAAATGGGGACTATAGTGATAGAACAATAAAGAAATAAGGATTTCATATCCCAGCTACTGATAAGTGAGTTCCTGCCAGACAGGAAGCTATCAACCTAAATTTCCTTTTACATCTTCTAGGCACTTCCCTTTCTCTGGAGGCAATAGGCATTATCAGGACAGGAGTGTATTCCTAACAGCCCAGTAGCACCTTATTTCAATGTGACTAGTTTAGAACGTGAGGAGGTGACCGGTTGCTTCCCAGCTTATGGCTGCCTCTGCTGCTTAGCCAAAGGCTTTGGCCTAAGAACAGGGCCTCAGACTGTCACAGTGAAAAAGGCCTTATACAGTCAGACAGTGATTTTGATTCTTTTTTTTTATACCTCTATAACTAGCTAAATTATAAACATACCTAAATTCTTAAAGTATAGGCCTTTCCAGACAGGCCTGAATATCTATATCCTAACAGCCAGTATCTCTTATTTCATTTGGGGAACCAGTATAAGCTATAACAGCAAAAAACCTTTTCTTCTGGTATATGCTGCATCTAAACTGAGAGGACTTGTCAGCGCAGCTTTGCTAGCAAACCTTTTCTAATGTGGATTAGGCCTTAGAATTTACCATATATAGGGCTCTCCAGCCACAGGTCTCAGAGCATTTTATAAAGATGGATGAGTATCCGTAGCTTCATTTTCTAGATTGGGGAAACTGAGGCACAGAGGTCAAGTGAATTGCTCAGTCACACAGTGAGTTAGAGGCAGAACTCGGAGCTAACACCTATGACACCTGAATTGCAGCCTTTTACTTAGTCCACAGCTGCCCAGGAAAGGATGAGTGGAGGGGATTTTGGATAAAATTTTCAAAGTCACCTAAGTGACTTGACTTTCAGTGGGACTTGGATGCCTAAATTGCTTAGGCACTTTTGAAAATTGTACCTGATGTGTCCTTCGCAGACAGAATAAAGTTTCTTAACTTGCACCCTAGCTATTACTGTGCTGGGCTCCTTAGAAATGCATAGAGTCCATATTGGATCAAGAGGTCAGTCCCTTCATGGTCCCCTTACCTGTAGTCTTGCTTTATCTTGCAGGGTATAACTATCTGATCTGTGATCATATGAGGGCAGTACATCTCTATATTAGTGCCCTGGAGAATTCCTGTCCTATGATGGCATTTCCATGCTCAAGTCATGAAAATTTCCTTGCTGGCCACTGCCTGGAATGTTTCAATCCTTTCCTGCTCTCCTGTCCCAGAATAGGTATGATACCAGCCTGGGAACTCCACTGCCCAAAGGGAGAGGAGAGTAGAAACCTGAAGGTCTTTGATGCAGGGTGAGGCATTTAGATTGGATTTTTTTGAGCTGGGAATGGTCAGGAACTACTGGATTTCAGCTGTGAGGTGAGATGTAAAACTAAGGTTGTGAACACCTACGGCCATTGAACACCCTATGGTACATTCCATAAGGGCAGGAAATGAATCTGAACAAATACCCCAGATCTAGCCCCCTGCCAAAGTCTGCAAAAGGTCAGATTTGCAGCTGGCCCCTCCCTCTGAATGGGCTGAATCCGAATTCTTCTGAACTTGGGGCAGGTTAGAAACCAGAGTTCAGATCTGGAATCAAATTCTGTGGTTTGGGACCAACTCTAGTCTCCTGGCCAAATTCCAATGTGAGTCATTGAATTCCTGCTCAGGGCTTGTCTACACTAACACTTAGTTCACAGCAAGCTGGGGTGTAAATCTACCCTGCACTAGCCTGCTGCGCACTAAGTGTCCGTGTGGACCCTGCTGATACGCACTAACGGTTCATTTGTGCACTTTGATTTACTCCCATTTCATCAAAGCGCAGTAAGGAGCTGTTGTGGACCCTGCTGATGTGCATTAACAGCTCCTTACTGCGCTTTGATGAAATGGGAGTAAATCAAAGTGCACAAATGAACCGTTAGTGCGTATCAGCAGGGTCCACACGGACACTTAGTGCGCAGCAGGCTAGTGCAGGGTAGATTTACACCCCAGCTTGCCACATAATGTTTGTGGATAAGCCCTTACATTTCCCCCTGCAGTTTCAATAGGAGACGTTGTTCACTTACCTGTCTAACCAATGTGCACTGAAGTCAAAAAGTTTCTCTAGTTCAGAGAAGCAGTCAGTGTTTACCCTAAACTGAGCTGAACCTAAACTTCAACCCGTTTGATATTCACCCATTGCTCCAACATCAGTATGCTGGTCAGCAGTATCTCTGTTCACCCCAGAGGTGGCTGCATTCCAGCACTGGGAAAACTCTCTTCCTCTCCCCTGAGGCTGAGCTGTGCTGGGGGGTGCAAGGAGGTGCGTCACTGGAAAGCCACTGACTGGAAGCATTTTGCCCCTGAAAGGCATGGCACATTCTGTTGTGCATTCCCCCAGCACCAGAGGAGTCACTACCCCTCCCCCCAGCACAGCCAGCCTGGTTTCCCTAGGTACACACTGCACAAAGTGAGGGTGAAACTGTACCACCCTGACTGGGAAGCCTTTTGACACTCATTTGGGACAGGTGCAAAGGATGGCACAGACTGCAGGGCAGTGGGGAATCAGGCCCAGAGGCTACAATGGTGTCATCATGGAGCATGCCTGGATGCCCTGGTGACTCTCCTTACTGCTGGCTGTCCTAGTGGTCACAGTGGTGTGACACTGGGTGTGCTGGTGGAACCCTGCAATGGAGAGTAGCTGGGATGCAGACACTGAGCCTGTTCCTGATCTCACTGACGCAGGGGGTTAGTAAACACTGTTTTGATCCACATCAAAATAGTGGGATAGGTGAGAAGTGAATCAGGTGTTCCTGACAACCATTCCCTCAGGGCCTTTCCCCTTCCACCTTGGTTTCATTTCTTCCCCTAGGGCTGTTGGAGCGCGGTGGAGTCAGCGTGGCAAAGCTCCCTGAGGAGGTGAAGGTTTACTTGGTGACCGCCTCCTCAGCCCCATACTGCAGTAAGTAGCAAAGAGAAGGAAGCCAGGCTGGTAGCATGAATGAACTGTGGAGACTTTCCATTTATGCCAGTGCTCCTGAAGAGAGTCACTGTGGTTGCCTGGAATGTGTCAGTCCTTCCCCTGCTCCCCATAGAAACTGCAGGGGGCTCTGAGAAATGGATTAAGGGGGTATCTGGCTTCATGGTAGCTTCTGTAAATCCCTCAATCCCTCAGCAAGTCTCCCTATCCGTAGGCCTCCTTCAGCAGCTGTACATTGGCAGGGGGCATTGCTTTCACCAGCTGCAGAACATCACTGTTACAAATGCTGGGCTAACCCAAGCCACTGTCCTATTCTGAGTTATGGGCCAGCTTCTCCATCCAGTTCAATACCCAATGGCTCCTGGTGAGATACTCCATTTTCCATAGGTGTACCTGAGAGTAGAAATTGGTCCTAGAAGGCATTTGAGATATGGCCCTTAGCCTCATTTCATGCCACACTCCTGGAGACTATTGAGGATAATAGGCCTGATTCTTCTCGCATTTCCACCAGTGTTACACCACTGGTCTCGGTGGAGTTACCCCTGATTTACACCAATATGAGAGCAGACGTGGGCCCAATGGCTCCCACCGACACCTTCATTTTCTCTCTGCCACCCTTCCCCCTCTCTGGCTCTGTCTTTGTTTGTCTGTCTGACTCTCACTCTCGGAACAGAACGGTGAGGAATGGAGTTTTGTCAGTAAACAAATATATGTCCAATCGACCAGGCAGCCTGTTCCCTTTTTATGTCAAAGCTCTGCTTAATCTTCTCCATACGGTGCTGGAGAGGTCATAGCAGGCAGGGGGTGAGGACAGACAGCCCTCCCATTGCTACAAGGCGAGGGTTAATGCTGAAGGCATGGTCATAGAATATCAGGGTTGGAAGGGACCTCAGGAGGTCATCTAGTCCAACCCCCTGCTCAAAGCAGGACCAATCCCCAATTAAATCATCCCAGCCAGGACTTTGTCAAGCCTGACCTTAAAAACTTCTAAGGAAGGAGATTCTACCACCTCCCTAGGTAATGCATTCCATTGTTTCACCACCCTCCTAGTGAAAATTTTTTTCCTAATATCCAACTTAAACCTCCCCCACTGCAACTTGAGACCATTACTCCTTGTCCTGTCCTCTTCTACCACTGAGAATAGTCTAGAACCATCCTCTCTGGAACCACCTCTCAGGTAGTTGAAAGCAGCTATCAAATTCCCCCCTCATTCTTCTCTTCTGCAGACTAAATAATCCCAGTTCCCTCAGCCTCTCCTCATAAGTCATCATTTTTGTTGCCCTTCGCTGGACTCTCTCCAATTTATCCACATCCTTCTTGTAATGTGGGGCCCAAAACTGGACACAGTATCCAGATGAGGCTTCACCAATGTCGAATAGAGGGGGACGATCACATCCCTCGATCTGCTCGCTATGCCCCTACTTATACATCCCAAAATGCCATTGGCCTTCTTGGCAACAAGGGCACACTGCTGACTCATATCCAGCCTGTAGTTCCCAGGATCCTCCTCCTTCCCTTTTTTAAAGATTGGCACTACATTAGCCTTTTTCCAGTCATCCGGGACTTCCCCCGTTCGCCACGAGTTTTCAAAGATAATGGCCAATGGCTCTGCAATCACAGCCGCCAATTCCTTTAGCACTCTTGGATGCAACGAGTCCAGCCCCATGGACTTGTGCACGTCCAGCTTTTCTAAATAGTCCCTAACCACCTCTTTCTCCACAGAGGGCTGGCCATCTACTCCCCATGCTGTGATGCCCAGTGCAGCAGTCTGGGAGCTGACCTTGTTTCTGAAGACAGAGGCAAAAGAAGCATTGAGTACATTAGCTTTTTCCACATCCTCTGTCGCTAGATTGCCTCCCTCATTCAGTAAGGGGCCCACGCTTTCCTTGACTTTCTTCTTGTTGCCAACATACCTGAAGAAACCCTTCTTGTTACTCTTAACATCTCTTGCTAGCTGCAGCTCCAGGTGCAATTTGGCCCTCCTGATTTCATTCCTACATGCCCGAGCAATATTTTTATACTCTTCCCTGGTCATATGTCCAACCTTCCACTTCTTGTAAGCTTTTTTATGTTTAAGATCCGCTAGGATTTCACGGTTAAGCCAAGCTGGTCGCCTGCCATATTTACTATTCTTTCGACACGTTGGGATGGTTTGTCCCTGTAACCTCAATAGGGATTCCTTGAAATACAGCCAGCTCTCCTGGACTCCTTTCCCCTTCATGTTAGTCCCCCAGGGCATCCTACCCATCCGTTCTCTGAGGGAGTCGAAGTCTGCTTTCCTGAAGTCCAGAGTCCGTATCCTGCTGCTCTCCTTTCTTCCCTGTGTCAGGATCCTGAACTCAACCAACTCATGGTCACTGCCTCCCAGATTCCCATCCACTTTTGCTTCCCGCACTAATTCTTCCCGGTTTGTGAGCAGCAGGTCAAGAAAAGCTCCCCCCCTAGTTGGCTCCTCTAGCACTTGCACCAGGAAATTGTCCCCTACAGCCAGGGACTTGTGCCCTCACTCTGTCGTGTGCTGTCTGTTGCCCAGTGTACCACAGCCTGGTGGAGTTTCACTTGCAGCAGACGAGAAGCTTGGTCACCAACCTTGAGATCACCTTCCGCAGCAGCAACTCTACAGCCAGCGTGAAGATCACCATGTGAGTGACAATGTGTACCTCTGACCTGTCTTTACTCCCTCGTCTTCCTTGTTGCAGGCGCAAGGATGTCTTTCTAAGCCATGTACGTGCATAGCAGTAGCACAAATGACCACATGCAATCACCACCAGGTGTCCTGGTAATGTAACTGAGTAGTTGATAACCGAACTGCTGGCAAAGAGACGGACATCTAGCAAATACCAACCAGGCTCTGGCCATACATACCTGACTCATTAGGCAGCTGTCCTGATGACCCTGAGATGTGAGCTGAAAATGACTGTAGGGACAGAAGCATTTGTGTGCAGCAGGACAGAGGTTAACTAATCCGTTGTAACTGCAGTTACTCAGCAATGAACCTGGGAGAGGAGAATCCACTGAGGCTGGAGACAGAGGCAGGTTCAGGACAGTAAGATCCATCTGGAACGTGCCATCTTCCCCCAAATTGTATCTTGAATTAAAGGGCCGGATTCTTTGACCTCTCCCTGCCCTGTGTGCTAACTCCTCTGGGATTTCCCCAGTAAAGAAGAGTGCCCAGCAGGCACAGAGCCAGTCTTGCTGGTTCCTACAGCTTTGTCCCTCCCCTTGACCCCCAGCACAATAGGCAAGGTGGGGCAGGGAGGAAGAGAGCAGAGCATGATGCAGGATGTGTGCAAGGGGCCCAGGCCAGAGCAGCACCAGAGCTAGCTCCCAGATGGCCCCTTTCTGTTGAGCTGAGCAGAAACTCCGCTCAGCACAAAGTCTGGTCCAGACCTTTGAAGTATGCTGCCTCTATGCCTGGGACCAAGAGCAGCAGGTCTGACATACTCAGGGAGGGGCTGTTTCTAGGGGATTTCCAGCCTGGCCAGTAACAAGAAGCATTTAAATCTCCACTGATTTCCAGCCTAATGTTGCAGACCAAAGAAGTTTAGATGAATTCAGATAAGCAGCCAACCTTCTGGAGCTTCAACAGATGCAAATCAAACCTCTGAGTTACAGGCAAGTTCAGCCCAGGAAAGTTTAAAGCCAGGTCTACATTTCCCAACAACGTGTGTGTGGGTGCTTGGATCTGGGCCCCGCTCTACTCTAAACCTTGGTGGCTCAGTTATGACTATTTGAGACCAACAGCCATTCGGGTCATTTAAGTATGTCCACCAGGTGGTGTGTGAGCTCAAGAAGGACAGGACACGTGGGAATTGGTTGGGTTACAGATAGAGCTGTCTGAGAATACAAAATTTGTATCTGTATCCAATCGGCACTTAAATAGGTGACCAGACTTGCAAGCATGCTAAACGCTCAGCAGCTCCCAGGGACTTCAGTAGGATTTGTGGGTGCTCAGCACTGCTGAAAACATGTTGGGGGTTTTTTCATGCCTAAATATGGAGTTAGGACCCTAACTGTAGACACCCAGCTTTGAAATGTTTGGCTATCATGCGCTCAGTCCCGCAGAGCCTCCGCCCACAGCACTCCCATTAAAGTCAAACAGAGTTCCCCGCACACAGGATTACTGGTGATACAATTAACCAACCCTCTTTGAAACCCAGTGACTCTCTTCCTGTTTGTGGGGGTGCATCCCACATGTTGAATACATGCTGCAGAAAGAAGGATTTCCCTTGGTTTGTTTTACATTTTCTTGACATGCATTTCTCTTATTTTATTTTCTGAGAACTGCAAACCAGACACAGTGAGCCAAATTCCTTCTCATGTAACTCCACTAAAATCAATGCTATTACAGTAGGGATTAATAGGCCTCATTGTTCTTTATAAAACAGGCTTTGTCTTGGTGGATCTGATCAATAGTCCTTACAGTCCATTACCCTCTTGCTGGCAGTGGCCAGCACCTGATGCTTCGAAGAAGGCAACATCCCCCACCCCATGCTTTGCCCACTTCATAATGCTCCTGGCCATCTGTGCAATGTTTAGTGCTGTATTTGATGGAGTGTCAGGATAGGATTACAAGACAGAGGAGTGAACATTTGCTGATCTGGGGGAGCTGCTTTAATCATGTGGTATAAGAAGAAAGATACACATCCATACCCACACATTCTCCAGCCTTTGAAGAGGAAGGGCATATAACAGAGATCCCCCTGGAGTAGGAGAGGGGTCTATTGGGGCAGAGCCTCCCACCTCTCATGAAGTGTAAGATTGCCATAGAAGGATCCTTAGATCTCACCAAGTGCTATGAGGGTTCCTGTTAACAACCCCACCATCTCCAATGTTTCAGTAGACACCTGTGACTCCATCCTCCCTTGCATACTCACACGCTACTGTGGTTTGGCCCCTTGTTCTCATTCACATCCCTCCCTCTGCCTTGCAGACCTAAGCAGCAGCAGCTGGGCAAAGGGGTGCTAGCTCATCCAGTCCCACTGTGCCAGATAGAGGTGGTGATGCTGAAGTATCTCCCCAAGTTGCAGATCTGGAAGAAGGACAAGGCCGTCATCGTTGGCAAATTCTGTACAACCGCACTGCCTGTCGGTAATCGGTAAGCAGGAGACATCCCTTTATCTCACTCCAGCCAGAGAGCCTTATTGGCCTGCTCAATGCTTCGGCTTCTCACCCTGTGTGAGAGCCTAGCTTCTCTTGGAGTCACACAGAAGCTAAGCATGTTAGTTAGAGCTTTTCCCCTTTGTCTTCTCTGGCTGTTGCTGGGTACCACATACAGCAGAAATGAAGGAAATATTGGGGAAGGGCTGAAGTGCCACAAAGGCCCCCAACCCTTCCTTTGCATGCACACACATAGAGACAATTCAGGAAATGAATTACATGGGAGACACCCCCTGATTTTAACGGACGAGCCCCACTGCTTCTTGGAGAGGAAAAGGCCCCTGGAAAATTGTCCTATATACCCTATGGGTGTGAGAGAGAACCACCTGAGCTATGGTCCCTATCTCCATCTATCCCCTGTGATCTAGCTGAGCTAGACCCTGCTGCTGTGAGGGAAAAGGCTGCTGCTCCAATCGGAGCCCCACCAGGGGGCTTAGAGCAACAGTGAAGAGCTGCCAAAGGAAATCTGCACTGGTCATTTCCATTAGGGCTCATTCTTTTTGTCCTCATCTGCCCTCTCCACCCTATCCCACTCACTTTGGGTCTCATCTGGAGAAGAAGCGAGCACCTACTGAGCACCTGTCAGCATAGGGCCTTGATTGTTCTGAAATCAGGGGGAGCTTCTGATGTCTGGGCCCAGGGCAGCCATTTTGCTGCCAGGTGGCATTGTCTGTGCGGCTGTGCCAGAGACTGTGAACCAGTAACCATTAGAGCGGGACAAATGTTTGGGGGTTTTCTTTTTTTTACAAATTATTTTGTCACCAAACAATGCATTTCGACAGGTTTTTTTTTTTTTTGGCAAAAAAAAATTGAAAAACTTGGTTTCATTTCAAGAAGACTAGATTATTTTCCCTGGATTTTAAATTTTTAAATTCAGCCTCTGAACCAAAAAATCCATTATTTGCAGAACTGTAGTTACCATCCAGCCCTAGTTAGCATCTTGAAAGCAGGAGTAACCAAAAGCAAACCCATCTAAGGTGGATGGGGTTCTCACCCTAATGCAACATTCCTGACAACCAGTGTTGTGTTCCCAGCATCCACACAGAGAAGTTAGATATAAACGTAAATACTCTCAATGGAAGGTTGCAACGTAACACTACTTTATTGTTTAGAATTCAGAACAATAACACACATGATCCCAAAAACAGAGTGAGACAAAGCAGGCTGCTCCCTAAGGCAGAGAGGCACACTTCACCCCACCTTTCTTTAAGCTGGCTCTTTCCAGTCTGACTGATCGCATGCTTTGCTACAGAGCCCACTAGCCTACATGCAGGACCAGGAACCCCCCTTCCCCCCCACACACACTTAAAGTGATAGCTTGCAATTCCAACACAGTCCTTGATATACCCTAAGCAGCCCCTTTGACTGCACCCCATAGTCATTAGGAGACATGCTCCTCATTTTATGCCTAGAGAGCCCACGCACCTGAAAGCTAAACAGAGCTGGGCCTTTGTACAGGTGCATAAGAAGGAGAGGACACAAGAAGCCGCCCCACTCTCAGACCCCCACATGGAGAGAAGGTACTATTGTTCCTCCAGAGTTCTTTTGAGGACTGTTCCTTTCCAGCGCCCCCTGGAGAGCAAAAGACCCACAAAGGTGCTAGGGGAGTGGAAGAGTCATGACCTTATGTCCTCCACACCAGCTTGCAAGGACCAGCTGGACACACAGGGGAGCACATGCTGCACCTTCTTAAAGGCTGGCGCAGCAGCTGTGATCCCTTGCATGCTGGAGTTCTGGGAAGCATTGGGCTTCCCCTTCCACAGCACCCCCCAGTCAGGACTGTGCCTAGATGGTACAATCTGGCCCATCACCTCTGAATGTTTGGGTACAATGTCAAAGCCAAATTTGAGGCTTCAGCGTGTGATGCCAATTCCATGTGTATTGACCTGGCACCCTGTGGAAGCCCATATTCCTCAACACACTGTCCTCGCAGAGAAACACAAAATCTGAGACTCCCCTAACTAATGCAGCAGAGACCGCAAAAGGTGGAGATCAGAGAGAGCCCCTCTGGGGCTAGTCCTTTGACACCAGCAGGTTCTCGCCCTTGGTTGTTTTAAGATTTGCCTAACTCCTGTGTGCTTCTCTCACAGTGAGAAGATATTTTGCCTGTCTCAGCATCTGTCCCTGACAGCAAGCAGGTCCCTTGAACATGACCTGGTGGTGCCCTGTGCATAGGAAAGTCCCCTGGAGCGTGCATCATGCACAGGCACAATAATGGGCTCCAACATTTACTTCCTCCCTCTGGACGATACTTCCTCCAAATAGGACAGAACCAGTTGGATTTTTCATCAACCCACCTTGGGGACAGAATGAATAACAGCTCTGGGAAGAGAAATGCTCTGCTGAAAGGAAAGACTATGGTCAAATAGAGCAGCTGATTGGCAGTTAGGACTTGTGGCCTCTATTCCCAGCTCTACAAATGCGCCATTGTGAGACCTTGGACAAATCACTTAATCTTGGTTTCCCCCTCTGTCAAAAGGGGCTGATAATGCTCATCTCTCAGGAGGATTGTGACAGTTGGTTAATTCCTTAATGTTTCTAAAGTGCTTTGAGATCTTCCCATTAAACGCCGCAGACATGCGAAGTATTATTGTTATTAGAGAACGTGCAGCGGTGTGGCTCCGGTTTTTTATGGGAAGGAGTCATTCCCCTAGCAACACACACACACACACACATAGATGTGAAAATAACTAGTCCAGGCCATGGATGCCTACAGAGTCTGAGGCCCTCTTGATTTCATGAGTGGTCCTGCAGTGTAATCAGCATCGATCTGTTTTCTCTTATCATGACAAGACTCCAGCTGCTATTCTGGCTATCTGATTGTAATTTTGTGATATGTCTCTTTGGCAAAGTTGATGTGTCCTGTTCCTGGATACTCAGATTTATCAGCGCCAGGAGTTTTCATATATTAAAACAGACCATTTATTAGTAAGAAAAAAACACACCAAAAACACTCTGAAAAGTAAGGAACAGCCCTGATTCAGGAACCCATCTACATTTAGATGCCCAATAGCCCTGGCAGCTGGAGATCAAGAGATACATTCAGAGGAGTCAGTGAGAGAGCTCTGCTCCGAGGGCTGGACAGTCCTTCCATAACTTCTTCTGCAAGAGCTTTGCATCTAGCCTTGGGAGAGTGCCCCTGCGCCTGGACACACAGGCCTTTCCTGGCAGTAGACTCTCAGTCTCTTTTAGGGCCATGCCCTTTTCACAGGGTTTTCCTAAACAAACATATTTTAATAAATACCTCAGAACATCAGGGTTCTAACCCCTGAATTGGCCACCCCACCAGACAGACAGACTGGGGGTGGAGAAGCCCCTTCCTGGCATGAAAGAAACAGAACACAGAGGTCAAGAGGACAGCTGGCCAGCAGAAGCAAGTCAGGACAAAAGCAAAGGAGAGGCCTTCATCTGGAGCCAGGAGGCTTCCCCACCTTGACAAGATTCAGAACCCTACAGATGGGTAATTGTGCTGGGGAGGGAAGGGAGTGAAGAAAGAACCTTACAAGACTGGGGTTCTGCGCTCATCCCTTGGGACAGCACTTGCCCATCCAGTTTATAGGAGTCTATCACTATCAGGCATGTTTTCTAATCCTTTAATCATTCATAGAATCATAGAATCATAGAATATCAGGGTTAGAAGGGACCATGTGGCTCTTCCCTGAACCCCCTCCAGCTTGTCAACATCTTCTTGAACTGTGGACACCAGAACAGGACACAGTATTCCAGCAACAGTCGCACCAGTGCCAAATACAGAGGTATAATAACCTCTCTACTCCTACTCAAGATTCCCCTGTTTATGCCTCCCAGGATTGCAGTAGCTCCTTTGGCCACAGTGTTGCACTGGGAACGCATGTTCAGCAGATTATCCACCACAACCCCTGAATCTTTTTCAGAGTCCCTGCTTCCCAGTATAGAGACCCCCTTTCTGTAAGTATGGCTACATTCTTTCCTCTTAGATGGCAACATTTGCATTTAGCCGTATTCAAATGCATATTGTTGGCTTGCACCCAGTTTACCATGCAGTCTGGATCACTCTGTCTCAGTGACCTGTCCTCTTCACTATTTACCACCCCCCCAATTTTTGAGTCACCTGCAAACTTTATAAGTGATGATTTTATGTAAGAATCATATGCGGAGGGGCACACCCTGGAGGGAAGTTCACAAGGGAGAGTGCACCCAGCCCTCTGATGGCTTCTGTGGGACTCAGCAGAGCCTTTGAGGGTTTGATTTTTTTCCTAGCTGGGTGTGGTGGCGGGGGCACAGGGGGCAGCTCACCTCCTGCCATGCATGCGCTCGGGCTTCATGTATCAGTTCTTGTGACAGCAGTCATAGGCGCCAACCTCAGGTGTGCTCAGGGGCTCGAGCACCCACAGAAAAAAAAAAGAGGGTGCTCAGCACACACTAGCCACAGTTGTTCGGCAGGACCACCAATCAGCTGCTGGCTGCTGGCAGGAGGCACTTGGGAAAGGTGGAGAGCAGTGAGCGGCGGGCGGGCGGGCAGGCTGGGAGCCTCGGGGTAGGGGACGGAAGGGAGGCGGGAAGAGGCATAGCGAGGGCAGGGCCTCAGGGGAAGGGGCGGGGCCTCAGGGCAGAGTGCAGGGTGGAGCACCCACCAGGAAAAATAAAAGTCAGCACCTGTGACAGCAGTTGTCTTTTGCGTGGATACCTCAGGGTAGCAATATGTATTAACAGCTACCCCAGGGAGTAGTGGCTACCTTGCTGTGTAGTTTAATGGCACTGAACAGAAACCTCTACTCCTTTGCTAAGGGGAAGCCAACAGCTCTCCACTGAAGGAGCTTCCTAGCCTGACTGGGTCAGAAAGAAGCAGACGCAGTGAATAGCTAGAGAGACGTCTGTCTGGGGCAACAACACAGAAGAGTTGTGAGAGGATGCTGGAATCGGATTCTCCTGTGGCAGAGTAACAAAGAGGAGGCAGTTTGTGCTGCAGGGGCTGGCAGAGACCCAGCACTGGCTACTTGCGTCCGTGCTTCAGTGGCCCTTATAGAGCTTTGCAGGAGCAAGCCCTATCCATGCCCCTGGCCCACATCAGAATGCCTCCTGCACTTGGGGTCCCTGTGGGAACAGCATGGAGCTGGTGGAGCTGCCTCTGTACCTGGCATAGGGGGCCCTTGGCACCAGACTAAAGGGGGGATAAAGGGGCCCCTGGTGACTATTATCACACCATACGAGCCCCCACTGATGGGTGAGCTTGCAGTAGAAATATTATTACTGCTGTATTTGTAAGTTGCCTACTATCTCTCCATATTGTTTTTAACTAAAATATTGCATCTTCCTTGCTTCCTTATCCCGATCTCCCAGATCCTTTTGTGAGGGCTCAGACCTGACTGTTCCTTCACTCCATCTCCACCTCAGTGGAGACACCCAGAGTCTACAAAAATCCAGTTCAACTTCTTCTCCTTCCAAAGAGATGTACCCATATTCCCTTCCAGAGGGACACAGAAATTCAGGTTAAGTCCTTCCCCTTTCCCAGGGCTAGACCCAGAATCCATCACAAGAGGGCACAGAAATTCAGTCCTGGTTCTTCTCATCCTCCTTATTCCAAGTGGATTGATCAAAAGACCTAGGGAATCTTTTCCCAACATCAGAAACTGGTATGTACTTCGTTACGTAACTGTGGTTATCATAAATGAAAAGCGTTAAACCCTGGACATGGCATTTTAAGCCTGATAGGAATGGATGCCATGTACATCACTAGCATAACCATACCTCCCCACCCCACTCCCAATACACACAAATACTAAAACTCTTAGGCTTGCTATAGTCCCATTTTCCTACTTCTAGAGCTCATGTGAAATCCTCTGAACATCAGCTTCTCCCCTCCAAGTCACTGAACCCTAGTGAATCAACACTCTCTTTAACTGGTGCCCTCAAATCAAAAGACTCCATGGACAGGCTAATACTGCTGTGTTTCCAACACGTTTAATGGAGCTGATAACAGAGCTGTTAACAGATCATGGGGGTGAAAGACTAGAATACAAAAAGGAACACCCAGCCATCCCTTGTGCCACTGTAGGTGAACAGAATGTGGTGTGGAAAGCGTCCAGCCATCACACTTCAGTCTCAGGCGTATACTTCATGTGTTTGCAGGGGTGTTGTGTGGACACGTAGGTGCATGTTAATGAGCGTCTTTCTGGTTAGAGGTGTGGGAGCATACACTCATGCGTGGGGCTTCCTGATTAAAACCGACTGTTGCACCCTAGAGTTCTGGGGTCTGGGTGGGAGCCAGAGGGGCTCGTCCTTTGAAGAGGGCACAGGGGTAACTCCGGATAAGGCTTCCAGAAGCTGTGGGAGGAAAGGGAGAAAAAAAGAGGCTATTATTACAGCCACAGCTCTTATCCATTTGCCAAACTCACCCAGGAGATAGTGGGGCCTGGTGGGGCCTACAGGGCACCCTACTGGTTTCCCTCTAACATCAGTTTGTAAAATCTTTGTCATTTATAGTCAAATCAGCGTGCATAGCCCCAGATTTCATGAGCAACCCAACACTAACAAAACCCCAGCTATCATGAGCAACTTTATGCTAACACAACAGTGGGCCTGCTTCTCCATTGCTTTGGCCCTTTGTGTCAAAGTGGATGTAAAATGCTTCCTGGTCATTTAGAGGCCCACTTGACCCAAGTGGACATGATTACATAAGCTGCAAGGTGGAGAAGAATTGGGCCCAATGCATACAGCACAAGCCCACTGAAGAAACCCTACAATAACCTCACAAGCCATCTTACAATAACAAATCAGGGCAGCTGCCAAATGGAAAGGAGAAAACCACTTTTTAAAGAAAGCAGAGTTCAATTTCCCAGGGATTAGTCTAAACAAAAGTACATCTTTAAAATTATTTTAAAAATTATGCAGAATCTTTTGGTGGTATCTCTTTCAAACGTCCACCCTGAATATCAACAGAACCTCACAGCCTATCTCATATGAATAATCAGAGAAAGGCTATTTTCACCATCAGGTCATCATCGGGTTTATTTTCTCATGTGTCACAGGGTGGATTATAAACTCTTTCAGGAGACAAGTGCAGAGCCAGCTAATACCGTAAGAGAATAACTTACCTTTCAACAGCACTTTCTATCCCAAAGGATCTCAAAGCGTTTTGCAAACTCTGTGCACAAAAATCATTTCATACACCACAGAACATCAGTGCCGTTGTAATAGTGCACAGCGATACCACATCACAGTTTAGGAACAGAAAATGAAAAAAAACATGGTATGTGAATGAAACTGCAGGGGGAATTTAGGGAGATAGAATGCAATTACCTAGGTTGGAATTTGGCCAGGAAAATGAGGTTAGCCCTGTGGATGGGAAAATACCAGGAAATCTTTACTTCCTACACCTGGTCAGGACCTAGTTTTGATGTTATTTATGAACGATGACACCTCGGAAGCACAGCAATCCCTGTATATGGAAGCGGTCCCTGTTTCTCTGTTTTCAATGTATTATACTGCTTCTAAAGCAGAGGCTCCCAAACTGTGATCCCTGGTCCATTGGTGGTGTGCCGAGCATTTGCAGGTGCTCTATGAAGAGCTGGCTGGCCAGAG